ATGTATATTGATTTACATTTATGCATTTGATCTTGAGCTAATTGGTTGATCTCCTCCCAACATCCGTCAAATCATTATTTCAAAATGCACTTTTAGCAAAAAATGGGGTTCAAACATACACGTTTGTCTAAGACTGAAGCCTGCAAAATGGAACCAGAAACAAAACAGGGAAATATTTAGAGACAAAAATAAAGAAAACCATATACACGAACACGTACGAGGCGTATCATCGTTTTCTTTAGTATTAAAATTTAGGACTTGCATCTGAAATGGCCTCAGCCTGAGAAGCCATGCGAAGTGCTCGATATTTGACTAGAAAACAGCCGAGGGCATGGCCGGCCACAGCTACAATGAAGATGCCAAGGTTGAAGGACATAACAGAGAGCATAACCAAGTAAACAAGAGCCATTCGAACTGCGTAAACACTGGCCTGAATCAAAGCAATAGACACCGGCTGTGCCCCAGGCTTCAGGGGTGGAGACACCGCTAAGACTTCAACTGCAACTGCGAGCAAAAACACAAAGGCTAGAGCCAGTATGTACATGCCAAGCCGGTCATCTGGCCATCCTTGGAAAAGTACCACAACGTCTTTACCCCAGAAAAAGGTCATGTGCATGGTTTTTTGTTTCATGTTCGTACTATGATTATACACTGAACTAGAAGATGTTGGTGTTGGCATTGACACGGACATGTTACCACGGTCATGTTCATGAGACATTTCTTGGAAAGAGAAGTGAAAAATCAGCTTGTCAATTAGACAAAATTAAGATTGATTCTTGATTAATTCTGAGTTTATATTGTGGTAGATTAGTCATATTTAGGAGTGAAAAAAAGGAGGATATGACATGGATTGTGAAAGATTAACCCTTTTTTATTTGTCCAACTTTTAATTTATATCTGCCAATTGGAATTCGGTTTTGCGGGCTTCGTCACTTTGCACCTGGACAAAAGTGCTTTTAAACTTTTAATTCTGACTTTAAGAAGTTAAAATGAACTTTTAAGATTCAAAAGTGCTTTTAAACTGTTTGATTAATTTTATAAAAATATTTTTTTTAGTTAGAAGAGTTTTTAAAAGAAATTGACTCAATATGATTTTCTAACAAAGCTCTTCCAAAAAAAAAAAAAAAAA